GGCTGCTGGTGTTGGGTTGGGAGTTGAGAGCAGCTGGGTGCCGTGGTCAGAAAGGGTGTAACCAGGGTTTTGGAGCGGGTGGGCATCAGTGGTGCCGGGGGGTGTTGCTGTCCCCCGTGCAGAGCCTGGTGAGCCCGAGTTGAGCCACTGTGCACCGTGACTCCTGCCCATCGGCAAAATCTTTTAAAACAGAGCAGAAATCGGCACTGGGAACCCCGGGAAAGCTGGGTGTCCCTGCCCAGCATCACAGCTGCCTTCTCATGGCTGCAGCACCCTGCCCTGACCCTCGTCCATGGGAGCCCTCCTGGGCAGCTCTGCCTTGGGGAAGAGTCCGGCCCTGACCTCCCAGTGCCTCCCAGCGCTGCCCAAAGCCATGGACACAACCAGCCGCTCGCCTGCGGCTGCATCTCCCGTCCTCTCCAGGGATCCCCAGCTCCGTATTCTCTGGATAGTCCAGATTTTGGGGAGCCCAGCTGCTCTTCTGCATCCTCAGCATCTGCCCGCTGGGAGATGCTGATGGCTTTGGGCTTTGCAGCAGCTTTGGGCTTTACAGCCACGGGCAGCGCGGAGCTTGGAGGAGCAAAAAATCCTGGAGCTGAGCCCTGTGCAGACCCACAGCACATCCTCAGCACCGATTTCAGCCCCGTGTGCAAACCCCCACCATGTCCTTGGGGCCCCAGCTCGCCTGATCCCCTCTTGTTTCCTTGCTTTTGCAAGGCAGCACGGGTGGTGAGCAGCTCCCCTCGGAGCCTCCCCCGAGCATCCCCTCCGAATGTCTCCCTCTTGGTGGAGGGAGTGCGCGGGGTGACCCTTCCCTCTGTCCCTCCTGTGTCTCTGCAAGCGCCCGTGAGCAGAGACAGGACAGAAATCCATCCTGTACCCCGCTCCTGGAGCAAGCAGTGACCGGTGCCAACCTTTTTGGGGCTCAGGGGTGCTGGCAGCACACCCCAGGGGTGGCACGGGCAGGGACATCCCTGCAGCTTCTCCCACCCAGCCGCCCGCGCTGCCGGGGAGATGTTTGCACATTGAATCCTGTGCGAGCAGCAAGGGACAGTGTCGCAAGCAGCAAGGGACGGTGTCGCAAGCAGGAAGCGCTGCGGTCGGCACCAGGCACCGAAATTCAAGGACTCGAGGGAAGCTGGCTGGAGGCCACCCTCCCCTTGCACTGCAGGCGCCCCAGGGGACAAGGGACATGGGGACAGGGGACATCGGCACCCCCGACACCTCCATCCTGGGCTGGACTGGTGTTGGGGTGTCCTGGGGGTGCAGGATCTGGCCCTTCACATTTCTCCATCTACCCTGGCCACCAGCATCCTGGGCAAGCCGGAGCTGTCACCGGCTGGGGACAGTGACAACCTGCACAGGGGCTGAGCACATCTCTGGTGGCTGCAGCCCCAGGCCCTGCAGCCATCCCCATTTATTTGTTTATTGGTGTTTATTTGTGATGCTCAACCCCAGCACATGTCCCAGGCAGTGGAGCAGGGCTGCAGTGGTCCCCGAGCGCAGGAAATGTCCCTGCACGGTGACAGCAAAGTTGCACAAGGGAGCCGGGGTGCTGCTGGGGCAGCAGGTGCTGGGGAGGAGCTGGGGGGGGGAGGCTGGTGCCCATGGAGGAGATTCAGTGGCCGGGGCCACTCAGGGGGTCAGGGTGGGGGTCTGGGGGTGTCCCCAACGCCCCTGACTACCTTTCTGTCTCCCCGTTAGGAATGAGAACCGGGAGCGAGCGTGGAGGCCGTCCCGGGAGACCAAACTGGAGACCATCCCAAACTGTGAAGCGTGGTGAGTGCGGGGGGGGGACCGGCAGGGCACAGC